AGATAAAGATGGCAGTGGTGAGCTCATGCAGATGGTATGGAATACGCAATCTTTTCAACTCTGATTGTGCTTCTTCCAGTCTTTTCTCCAACCGGTATCAATCATGATAGTATTTCTTGCAAGCATTATGCGTCGGTGGCATAGCCGTTAGGACGCTCGCCAACCATGCATATGGTCCGGGGTTCGATCCCCGGCCGACGAACTCCTTTACCTTGCTTAGCCAGAAATAATGCTGGTGAAGAGGAAAGGTTGGGCATGAGGCTAGCAACCCCATCCTGTAAAATAAACACTGCCACAGAAACTTCAAGCCACTAGCTTGAAGCCCTATGTTCCAGTGGGAAAAGTGAAGGAAAATAATAAATAATAATAAATAATATTATCTTAATTATTACTATCAATACATGGATAATATCAGTACTTAACACTTCGGTTATTTGAACAAAATGAAGTAGTCATGATAAAATATTCTAGAGTCAATCTAATTTAACCACCATTATATTAAATACTTTTTTGTGTTTTGCAATTAATTGTGTTCTCTGAGCTGGTTGGTTTAATTGCGGAGCCTCCGTCGTCCTTCTGGACAACATCTTCATCGCAAGTTTTAGCATAAAATGAACTGACTTAAACTCTCCATGAATGATAGAATCGTATGTCCTGGTTAACATCTTCGTGACTGGTAGTCGATTTACATCTGTATTGATCATTTTTTATCGACTTGGATTTTGAAATTTCTCGTTACATGATTTACTTTTTGTTAGTTGGTAGATTTGGTCTATATTAACAAGTTTGTTAATCGCATATTCTCTTGAGTACCAGGCTTCTAGGAATTCTCTGGCACTTTTAGTATTTCCTCTGTTTACAATTTCGACATTATCCAATCAAATTGGTGTCCATAATTATCTACATCCATTGATATGAAAGAGGATAGATCATGCCTTTACACAGCTAATTTGTGTTCCTGGATTCTGATTCTAAGGGGACACCCACTTTGACCAAGGATATTGATATTTACAGAACGTTAACATCATTAAAAAGAACAGTTCAGAAAACAGTATACAAGTTTTAGGATCTTGATATAAGCCAAGATCTTCCATATCTTGTCAGTCAATTCTCACCAAGAAATATGTTGGGACTCTGTGTCATAGATGATCCTAGTCACTGAACTGTTTGAAACGTATTTCATTTAAAATTATCCAAATTTCTTGTGAATAGATCATCTACAAGACTGAAGACAAACGTCTGAGAATTAAGTATCAATAGGTTTGTTGACTAGTGATATTTCAAGTTGAATAAAACGACTTGATGCATTGTATAATAATCATGTCAACAACATTCACTTCGTGTATCGTGCGTCAGTGTCACAGCGGTTAGGACTCTCGCCGACCATGCACATGGTCTGGGGTCCGATCCCCTGCTGGCGCACACCCGATATCAATGGTCGGCCTGCAAAATTTGGGCTACCGATATCGCATGCTGAAAATTCCATACTTGTACCAAAAATACTGTGTGGTTTCAAGCTATAATCAAATAAAATAAAATAAAAACATTGTTCACTATCAGACTGCCTGTTCTCTCGTATGTTCACAGTTAGTGTATGTAGACTTAAATTAATATCGTCTTCTGACTGGCGAAATTAGCATTATGGAATCTACATTCTTGAGTATAGTCAGATACTCTTATTAGTTATAGGTGTTTGATTTTCAATTTCCCGGGAAGCTTAATCCTCTTCACTGAATAGCTGAATTTGATCCATATAGGTAACTATATCTGAGTGACTACATATTATTCCTTCAGGTTCCCAGTGGAACATAGGGCTTCAAGCTAGAGGCTTGAAGTTTCTGTGGCAGTGTTTAATTTTTACAGGATGGGGTTGCTAGCCTCATGCCCAACCTTTCCTCTTTACCAGCTTTATTTTCGGCTTAGCGAGGTAAAGGAGTTCGTCGGCTGGGGATCGAACCCCGGACCTTGTGCATGGTCGGCAAGCGTCCTAACCGCTAGGCCACCGACGCCTCACTACTATGCTACCGAATGAATATTTACATATTTCACATTTGTGTCATCTATTAAAGGCTACAAAATTCTATCTGTTAAAGGAGCCGGTTTCCCGGTGTATTTATATAACACATTTCTGGTTCTTGTACTGCTTTTGATTTAACAATGACACACATATGGTTCGGAAACTCATTCCAGTAGTACAAGAATAAGATAGCACATTAACTATCCTAGATTGTTAGTTATCTTGTTAAAGTTTACTCATCATTAAATTTTGCCTAATAATAACAACTGATATGTCATTTTAAAAACCATGATACCATGTAGGTAGTTAAAACAAATGAATTGTGATCAGTAAACCACTCTAACTATACTTTTTTATTGTTTAGCTGTAAAAAGTAGAGCTTCATAATTAAACAGAACTCATAGAATGTTACTTGATTGAGTACTGTGAAGCGTATAAGTGTACAATTATCATGCTCAGATGTAAAACCAGAAAAATACGAAAAAGCGGATCTGTTTAACTGGAACTGTAAAAAAACAACAACACAGTAACAATACTAACAAATGAAGAGGAGCATAGAAAGGAATAAAAGCAGCTTAATGTGAATGCATGCATCTATTGAGACTCAGCAACTGATCATATATATACATACATAATTATTACTCAGACACTTGACGGTGGCACACAATCATATGCGGACACACAAAAATAGTAAAAAGGAACTAACAGTGAAATGTATTCACAATGAAGAGATAATTGCTTTGCTATTCAACTACAAAACACAATGTTGTATAAAAAATGAGAAAAAAATGGTATTGTCTGCATTTATTTAGTTCAGCTTTCTTTTTTTTTTAAGTGATCACTTTATCAAGAGTAAGAATATACAATCATAAAAACTAACTCCAAATACTTCTTTTTTTCAATTACACTGGTGTTTTCTTTTCATGCTTGTTATGTTAGTAACACAACATTTAAAAAAAAGTTTATTTGTGTCTGAAGTTACAACCACAGTCAATTGAACAAGGTGGATTTTAGGTTTTCTATATTAGTTAACCAATATTACTGGATTCATGAAGAGGTGAACAATGGAAGAATACAATACTTGAGTGAATATTTTATAATGAGGGATATTCATTAATCAGCGATTAGTGTGTTTTATGTGATAGTGGTACTTGACATTTCTTAAAAAACCAAGAAAACGTATCTTGACATTAGCTACAGTTACTAACATTTGGGCAAAGTTAAACTTTAAGCACCACCAACTAGCTACCAATCGGCGAACATCCTCGATCCTACCAATCGCGTTAAGGCATTTTTGTGCATGGAACACATATATTTATGGAAATGCATAAAAACTGTATACAAGTGTTACAGAGGATACCTTTCTCTCACATTTGATAAAAATAGCTCTCAGTTTTAGGTTGGAGTATCAACAGAGTATAACTCCATTGTGGGTAAAATTTATTTTGATAAAGTCTCAGTGTTATCCAGTAACATTTACTGGACAATAAACTGTGCTCGAAAAGTCATCAGTAAATATTACTGTATAACACTGTGAGACTTTATCAGAATAAATTTTACCCACAATAGAATTATACTCTACCACAGTGCACAAGTTCTATTCTTATATCAACAGAGTAATTTAATCACATTCTGTGCATGTAATTATTTGGGTCTTCTAACCCTGACAATAAGCCTAATCTTTCCTAAAAATAGCACTAACGTGAAAATATGCCTAAACTAACCCTAATCTAAGTTGAACTAACCTTAATGTCACCTTTAGTAGGTTAACCTAACCCTAACTTGTCCTTGGCTTAAACCGTAACCTAATCTTTCCCAAACCTAAGCTGAAACTTCCCGGATATCCCATTTAATAATCTAACACTTCGATGAGCATGTTTAATTGATGATGACAACATTACTTGCCAGGTTTCACTAACTTGCTCAGTTAGTGTTTCAAGGTCATTGGTGCGGTCGCACTCCATTGGTAGTTAGTGGTGCTTCAAGTTTAACTTGGCCACATATGCTTTTAATTGAGAGTGATGAGTGATTTAAAACAAAAGAGAAAAATAACAACTGGAGATCTCAAATTATATTGAACTATGAATTCTTCTCATAGTTAATAATAGTTGCAATAACACTGATACAAACAGTAGAATCTTAAACTAGTCCTTACATGATATTATACGATTTTGAAAAGCCTCAGAGTAGTTTACGTTAAAACTGGTGGTAATTATAGAATGGTTAGGAGTTATTCAGTCAAGTAATTTGTGTGTTAATATTTGCAAAGTAGTATGTTTGTCAACTGCTGAAGTTTTGCACGTTGTGTTTTGCAATTTAAGCGCAAATCTTGAAATCCGTCTTCTAAACAATAATGATAGAAAAGTTAAGTAGCTAGAGGTGATTTTTTAGCATAAGATAAGATATATACACAAGAATAAAACTAAACCACAGCGAACAAGTATAATTCCATAATAGACTTGTTCATTTTGCATAGTACAAAGTAATACAGTAATTTTCAATGCTATATGTGCAGTTAAAAAGTCTGGTAAACCAAACGAAGACTATTCCTGCGATTAGTGCACTGCCTTTCAAGACTTGCTTTTATAACTTTATTATTATTTTCAAATAACATGGGACTACTTTCTCGCAAAAACGTCATAACGCCAACTTTTTATCAGTCAATGACTATATTCAAAACGATGCTACTTACAAACCATAGTAAGTAGATAAAGGAATAAATCTAAAATTTGTGAATAAATTGGCTGTCAAGTTGTCGTGGGTTAAGGCTGTTGGCATAACCTGATATGAGGCGCAAAAAAAATTTTAGCACTCAAAGGGCTTTAATTAAATCTAGTAAGTGGTTTAGCATTTGTCTGATCTGAAAATATCATTAGTTAATAATGGTGGTATCTAATATTTACTGGTCATGTGTTCTTTAAAATCGGCTAATTTACTTTCTGTGTGAATAACCACCTAATTTACAATATTTTTCTTCATTTAGCTGCTGTAAGAACAGGAAGAGTGCATAAGGAAATGAAACGCTTAGGATCAAGACATCAAAATATGTGTGAACATTCAAATATCAGTCGTTCTTTCCCGAATCGTAGCAGTTATCCAACTACAGACAATTTACAGAGGAACAGACTGAAAAGAACAACGCATGAAGTAAATTGTAATCCATTCAATGAAACTTTTAAAAGTAAGTGACCACTGGTTACAAACTCTACAGTATTATTCAGCTTTTAATATTGTCGTAATCATATGTAAAAAAAAACTAGGTTATTATAATAATATTTCATGTCTTTAAGTAAATTCAAATTTTTCTAGTATTCGTTTTGTAGGGATTTTTTTTGCTTGATTGGTTGGAGGATTTCATCTTGAGCTGACATCAGTTAGAGAACCATTAGAAAACCAGTCAGACAGTACTGGACAGCTGTTTCACCAGCCTAGTTTGTGACTCTTCAACAGTACGCACCCAATGCCAGGGTTCGAATCCAGGACCTTCTGGTTACAAGGCTAGCGAGCTCGTAGACCATTAAGCCACTGGGACCCTATCCAATGGCCAGTCCGTGAATTCTAACTTCTGCCAATTCATGACATATCGCGACCACTTAGCAATGTCTTCTTCGATGAATTACTGCCTCACCTTCAACCTGCTGCATTCTACTGGTCATGGCTTCCCACTGGACCTCCAGGTAACTGCCTGAATAGGGCCTGTCGCTAGTAAGCATCAGATCAGTTTTCAAGTATTGGTTTTGTAGGAAAAAACAGCTGTCCAGTACTCCCAGGTTTTCCAGCGGTTCTCTAAATGATGTCATCTCATGGTGTAATCCTCTGGCCAATCAAATTTTTATATTAACCATCGTGTAACCAGTCATTTGTTGTACACTGACCAGATAATGTCTAATGAAATTCATAAGCATGTAACACACTGGAGCATTTCCAATGAAAGCAAGAATTTTTCAAAGTGCTCTCTGAATATCTCTTATCACAGATAACAATTTTTTTTCCCTAGTAAATAACTGTTATCTTTGTACACTATACTGAATAGGTAGTGATGTTCTATAAATAAATGATGGTAAAATAAGAAGTCTACGATATTTAGTAACATTTAGTAAGCGATAAACTCATCTCTGTAAAAGAAACAGATAACATCTGCAGCATTCTTGAGGGTACATAAATATCCCTGATGAAACTCTGTAGGCTAAAATATTAGTTATTTTATTTGATTGCTCGGAAGATATAAACGATAGAAAATGAACTTATGAGGTATGTGAACTACCCTGCATAGTGCGAAATAAAAGAGTGTACATAAAATGTTGTCAAACTGAGAAGACTAGATTTTGATCTGATTTCTTAGTTTACAGTTGTTAATCTTTTGCTTTTTTGAAGATAATGCTAAATATATGTTCAGAAAATCTTTTTAAGGGAGACTTCATGATAGAGTAAGCTACTTTTATTTTAATACTCCTGAATTCAACCACCGCCAACCGTTCGATTTATGAAAATCAGATGTGAATATTGAAAAATATCTGATTGCAGTCCATTTGGAAAATTCAGGTGGTATACTAGTGAAGGCTGCATCTCTGGTGCTTTTTAATCTTTTGCTTGTCGTATAGGCGGATATATTTAGGCAGAAGCCTATGGCAAGGATTAATTCATAACTATTTCTAAAGGTGTGACAAACCTCCATGTCGTTCAGAAAAGCCTGATAAAGTATATCCGATGGACGACAGTTACCGCGCTGTGTAATCCAGTCACCTTTTTGGTTGAAGCCAAGCCTACTGACTTAATCGCTTAATGTCAAAGTGCTTTAGACAGAATTTCACAAACTATTGTACAGCAAACATCAGCAAACAGGTGTCACTGTGTCAAGAAGTTAGTCTGTTAGCACAAAATGATGCTAAGAAATGTATTTTTCAAATGACCACATAAATCATATGAACTGTGATCAAGATTTGACCGGATAGTTGCAAAATAATTGAGCGCAAAATAATTGAGCGACCACATAAATCCTTTCGATTTTTAAAAATACATGGGAAAAATAACCAGAATTATCTATGGTCTGTAACCCACTGTTAAGAGTCTCAGGTTTCTCAATTCTATGAAGAACAAGGTGACTGGTTATAGTGCAGTCGTGGGAACTCTTATGACTTGGCTTTCTGATCATAAGTAGTATTGGTAGTGTTCTCCACTAGACCATTAATTACATTCGCTAGTTCACTTAAAATAATTACAGTACCTGCATCATTCAGTCAGGGCAGTGTTACTGAGCTCTTTACCTGTTTCCAAACCACTGACTATAATGACAGAAATATATAGAATTGTAACCAGTCCAATGTCCTCAAAGTTTTTATAATGAAATCAGTGTATAGCCGGAGAGAAAGAAATCTTATTTACAGTACTGTATATTACTCGGAATGTATATTTATCAAGTTGTTTAATCCTACAAATGTTAAGAGTATGCTGTATGAAGCAACTAGATTAATGCCTTCTTTGTTACGTGCCAGTGTAGTAAGCTATTAGTTCCATCTACGAAAGTTGTTCTCCAAGCCCTGGTTAGTGGAGTAAAGTTTCAAAGCTGCGATGCAATTTTTGAAGATGAAATAATAGGAACTTCTTTTTTCTCTTTTTACAGTATTTTCTTTACTACTCAATATAGTAACAGTTTTGGTCATCTCAAAGCTCTATGTCGTGAACACATGACATATGTGTATGTTTTATTCCATATATATATGGGATTTATTCGCTGTTAAAACCAAGCACAATTTATTTATGCCATTCAGGCGACTTTCAAGTAGTTAATATGTGCAAACAGATAATTATTTTCACGAGAACTGATTGGTTAACAGAGAATTATATATTTTCTATTCTAGAACAAAACACCATGGTGACACGATTTTCTCCACCAGTCCTAATCAGAGAAGAGTTGACTCCAATCACTCCAGAGACATCTTCTAATACTGGAGATACAGCTACAAAACCATTAAAGCTGCCAAGATTATCTCAACAAATTAATGAGAAATCACTGTCTCCAAGTGAAAGTTCCATCAATTCTTTTGGATCAATTAGCGATACAAATGGAATTGGTTTTTCACCATATGAATCAACTTATTTACTGTCTTCGATTAATGAAGCTTATGCAAAGTTATTGGCAAGACAAGCATGGCTTGATAGGATGACATTTAATAGTATTCATACTACTACTTCTGCTACTACAACAGCAACAATGACTACAGCCGCAACGTCCAGTTCAATGATATCGAATGCTACAACATCTGTTTCCAATTTTACAGGAAGTATGTATTCGGATAGTTGTAACACAGACAGAAATAAACTTATGAATCCTATTTATAATAGTTCACAAGTAAAAGATAACTGTATTCCGAATTCTACAGAAGTTTTTTCGCCTGTTTCCTTTCTTTCAACATTTTTGCACAGTAACAATACTAACAGTCGTAAAACTCCGATTCCTAATAATTCTTCTCATGAACAAAAAGATATCAAACCAAACAATTCATCATATCCTCCTGTTCTGAACCCAAAATCTCTTGGGACAAATCCACACTTTGTGAAAGACACATGTCATTTACTAGAAGCTCGTGACATAGATTTATCTAACCGCGTTGATAACAGTCAACAAAATCATTTTAACTATCCTCAGAGTATTCCACTCAACACTAGTGCAACTTATAACAACGGGCTATGCCAACCGAATGACATCTCCAACTCATTATTTTCGTCGTTTTTATATTCGGCCATGACATCAATGTTAAACTCGACAAGGTACAACATACCTGAGAATAAAAGTAGTACTACACCACCACCAAGTCATTCAAAGTGGGAAGACCCTAATTATTGTCATTATTATAATGCATTTACAACGTTTCTCTCTGGAATGCTGAGTGCTTCGAGTATGCAGTCGCAAGTTCCAACACCGAAGAAAGCACACACTATTACCAATAATAACAGTATTGGTGGGAATAATTATTCAAATTTCGATGAAATAAAATGGAAGGAACTTATTAATGACAATAATATTGCTCCTAACTTTAATAACGAGTCTATAGATATGGATATGAAGTTGAATCGAATGGATAATTCTCAGAAGTCATCAAATAATGTACTCAGTATCGATCACTTGTTAGACCTAGATACAAACAGTGCTTCGAATACTACGCATAACAGTGCTACTCACAAGTCTAACAATATAAGCGTGGCATCAGTGAATGACTGCAAACCGAACTATACAAATACAATGAGTAATCCTATGAATAGACACAATTATCTAAATTATTTTCCTCAAAACATGCCAGATCCTTTGTTATTCAAGTCACTTTTGGCTCGCCATTTCAGTGAAAATAAATCGTTTAGAGTTTGAAACTACAGGAATAGCACGTGTAGACGTATTCAGAAAAAGAAGGTAACAATCAATGGCAGCACATATGGTCTTTAGTTGTTTACTTTCCTCTTAACATACATAAACTATTTAATGTTAAAATGCACAAACACACAATTTTGAACTGTGTTACTTATTACTTTACCTCATATACACATGAAGATTTACTGTACACTGACTTGATATATTATGTAATAAAGCTGGCTTTGGCACCTTTGATGTATGTCTTCTTCGTTTGATAGAAATTTATAAAATACTAACTATAGGTCTCAGAGTCTTTTATTTTCTAGTAATTGTCAGCAGTCATTGGAATTAAGCAGTCGGTAAAAATATAAAGATTGATAATTTTCCGATTAGTAGTCAAGGCGTCAGAAGAAAGTTCATATGCTTGGAGGCAATTGGCAGGAAGCCTTGGACCTAGGTTTCGTGCTAGTAGGGACTCTTCAGCAAAGCGTATCTGCAACCTTGAAGGAACTCATGTCCCTTCTGAGGTTCGAACCCGCGTCACCCACTGCTGCAGTCAGAGACGTTACGTTTGAGCTATTCGGGTTCGTGACTGACCTCCTTTGATTGGACGCCAGTAACTAGTGTGATGTGTCGAGTCCTTTCTTTGGTGCAGACTGAATTCTATCAGTCAGGTTTCTGACTGCACCACTGGGTGACGCGGGTGCTAATCTCAGAAGGGACATGAGCTCCTTCAAGGTTGCAGATACACCTTGCCGACGAGTGCCAGCTATCACAAAACCTAGGTCCAAGGATTCCTACCGATTGCCTCCAACCATCTAATATCATCACAAACAATGTACACCGTGATGGCGACATACCTATAATGGTGGCCAAACTGCAAAACCTGACTGATAGAATTCAGTCTGCACCAAAGAAGGGACTAGACACATCACACTAGTTACTAGTGTCCAATCAAAGTAAAAAAAAAGTTTATTTGTTGTTACAGTAATATTGAAAACAGAAATAAACATCACCTGTAGTGGATTATTTCTGACTAATTATCAGTTAAGTATTCGAGACTGTGTAAGTTCAGTAAAAAAGAATGAATAAACAAGATGACAATAGCTTAAAGGAAATGTCATTGAGGGAGTCATATTTATTCAGATTAACAAGAAATTCCTTGTAAGCTTTGTGACAATTATAGCTAGAGAAAGAAAGTAGATAGCTTAGAAGTATCTCTTGTAAACTAATGATTTCTTCGCTTAAAGACGAGCAAATCTTATGAGCTAATAACTTTGCTTGTTGGAAATTTCGTTATCACAATTGAATTGTCGGTGATTAAACTCTGTTCTCGAAAAAACCAAATAGAATTAAAAGCAGGTTTTCAATTTCTTTACTACCTGTCGAACCAATGGTATTCCTGTTTTGTAAAGAATTTTATGATGTGCACAGCTAAAACAAATTAATCAGCTTCATATTAAGTAATTCTTTCTAATATAACCGTCGGTGATACAGTATTAATGACTGGACGACATTTTGAGTACAGTTTATTTTTCACTTTGTATATTAGCACTTTAAAATCAATAAATCGCACGTAGTTATTGCTGATTAAAATGAGACGTGTGTGAAAATTTACCGGACATATTGTGGTGTTCAAAAGGATTTCAAACAACCACCACTGCATCAGTAGATATGAGCATTTTTTTTCCTTCACGTTCCCCAGTAGAACATAGGGCTTTAAGCTAGTGGCTTGAAGTTTCTGTAACAGTGTTTATTTTACAGGATGGGGTTGCTGGCCTCATGCCCAACCTTCCCTCTTCACCAGTATAATTTCTGGCTTAGCGAGGTAAAGGAGTGAGTCGGCCGGAGATCGGACTCCGGACCATGTGCATGGTCGGCGAGCGTCCTAACCGCTATGTCACCGACGCAGATATGAGCATACAATCTACTATATATGTAAAACCTGTTTTTCATGTTTTCCTCAGCTAGAAGTGATTCCATCTACTCTGAACGGGACTTGAACATCAGTAGTCTACCAAATCTAAGGTTGGAAGTGAAGTCTTTCACATAAAGCGCAACAAAGCAACAAAATCGGATACTTTGACACCACCGTGTTTTAAAGATGCTGGTAGTGAATTTTTGACTGGGTTAACTAAAGTACTACGTAGTTCCATCAGATTTATGTAAATCGTTAGTTATCTCATGTTATAAAGAAGGGGATACATCTTCCAGCAATAAGTAAAAGGGAAATAAGCTCAACTAACATAATATCTAGGAGCCCAGATTCATAGTTAACAAAGGCTAAGTAGGACTCCAGGAAACCGGATAGGTTTCGAACACTGATCAGACCTAAACTTTCTATGGGCTATGAAACAAGGATTCTTATCCGCGTTCAGCACTTAACATATTCTTAGCCTGAGGCATGTATTAGCCTTTGTCAGTCTAGCTGTCCTATGTTAATATTTGTCCGTGACGGAAGTGTTGAAGTATTACATTGCAGTAGTCAGACCATAGTACTAAAACTCGTGCAGTCGTGTAACAGCTTGTGAGGAGTTGTCGTATGAAAAAAGTAATCACAGCATAATGTGCTATAGCTTATATTATGGCAAAGCTAGGTTGATTTCCTGTAAATATGTATTACGGAACTATATTGGGGCTTTGTTTTCACAATCAATCAACAAAGCAGTGATTAATGATTAGTAAACAGTCAGTTAACGGACAGTAGACAAATTAGTCGTGGTGGTGGTGGTATCAGTGGTAGTGATTTCACAAAGTTGATTAATTATGGTACAATTCGTTCATATTTTATGAAAAGATGAAGTGTACTTAAGATCAAGTGATAACATTTTAAGATGAAGTCTAATATGAAGTTTTGTTATGAACGGAAAATTATAATAGAAAAAAAAGTGATTTATGATTCAGGAAAATAACATGGGCCTGTCAAGTTTTAAATTTATCTTGATCAAAAGCTGACGGTATAAAGGATTTTACTGACGAGTATTTAGTGTCAGTTAATCCGTAATATGAACTTAGCATCATTATGCTTGGTGAAACCATTGACATTAGTTTCAGTAAGAGATGAACCGTTTTTAAAAAAAAATTTAAGAGATAATTATATCACGGAATATAATACACATTGAATCATAGGAATTATTAAAAAGACGGTTCTTTCCAAATTGCTCACAGATTGTATTTTAGTGGACCACTCTTTCAACTGATTGTCAGATTCTGAGAAATGCTCTTGCATCTTTCGAGTTTTTATGCTGGTAGCTTCATACTGCCCCATCAATTGAATTTGTTCTCCAGATTATCTGAGAGTAGAGAGATCTAGTGTGTCGGTAGTGCAATGTCAGAATGCGCTCATCAACCACGCATGATTCCTGGCCGGAGCACTCCTAAACCTCGCCCAGTTTACCAGCTGGGAGTTGAGCATGAGAATAGCAACCCCAACTCCCGTAAAACACCAAAGCTCAAGTTTGAAACCTCATGTCCCACTCAGAAAGCAAAGAAATAAAAGACAGGACAAAGTTGCAGCGTTGTATAGTTTTATCAGCACTGTGTACTTTGGCTACTGAAAGAAAGTAAAGTCGTTAATCGACTCTGAAGTAATTTTTAGTACAGTTCAATATTGAGTTAATGTCTTCCAATATCTGGTACACTTGAAGTATTCTTTCGCGTTATGTTGATAATTATGTCCATGAACAGATTTCCATAGTTAACTTTTTCCTCTTACATTCATGGAATTCATAGACATTTTTGTTTTTTTATTAACTCTTTTCCAAAATACTAAAAGTTCCATTTGCATACTAAATTAAAGTTTTTAAAGGAGAATGACGAATTCATTCATTTGTATAGTCGCTGTTTCAAAAACCGAACCCGAAATCAGCAGCCTAACAAGTCTCTCTTTTTTCTTTTGAACACCTAGCGGTTGAACTTCGTTTAGCTTTCATTATGCAAAAGAATTAATTCTATTACATTATTTCACTAGACAGAATTTGTTACAAATAAAATTCAAGGCGAAGTCACACTGAATGTAAACATTCTGTCATTTTTATTTTGTTGGCATATTCTTTATTTCATTCTTAAACCTACTTGTTGAGATGAGTTAGTTTCCGTTACGATTGGTGAGCTTTTACAATGCTTTTCCAGCATACCAAGTAAAAGTACTGTATATATTAAAGGAAGTGATAAAAAGGGGAATATCCTTCTTCTACATTCTCGTTGACTGTGAAGCCTCATTAGCTTAAATTAGTTCCTTCTTCTTTGTTGAGCTTTTAATTTCGCAAAAATATGAATGGTTAGCAATGAGTAAATCTTGGTCTTCTGAGGTGCACTTGAGGTGCACTCTAAATGTCCAGTTCAAGTTCAACAACACGATTTATAGACAAAGAAATGGAGTGGCAGCGGGGTCACCATTGGGTCCTTTACTTGCAGACTGCTTCTTGGCTGGTTTCTATCTGTACCAAAGATACATGGATGATACTTTCATCATATGTGACGACAATACCGACATCGAATTGATAACTTAAGAGTTCAACAGCTACCATCCAGTTCACGCTGGAATCAGAGATGAACTCAGAATTCCATTTTTTGGATGTTTTTCTGAAAAGGAGATCTGATGGTTCTCTTCAAAAATCCATGTATAGGAAACCAAAATGAAATGGTCAGTAAACGAATTTTCATAGTTGAGTCCCTTTAAGAAGAAAGAGAAACACGATCCACTCCTTATCCTCAAGAATAAGTAGGATATATTCGAGTGATACAATCGACGGGGAACGGGGGAGACTCGGAGAAGTCCTCATAGAGAATGGATATCCTCCAAGATTTATCGAGAAAAGATGAAGTTAAAGCAAAAGCCTGAAAGAACGCAGACGGTGCAGAAGAAACTGGTATTTATGAGTGTTGAATTTAAAGGTGGTTCCGCAACTGAGATCCTGAAGAATCGCTGCTTATGCAGATCACTGAAGAAAGCCTTCTTTATGGCTGAGCTACGTATCAATTTCTACAGCCGACAAATGATCAACGGATGTGTGAAGGATAAACTGCCGCTTTGGGCCACCTCAATGTGTTTATAAATTCACCTGCTCGTGTGGAGCTAGTTATATTGGCCACACAAAGCGCACGTTTTTCAATCGCATCTATGAACATTATCCGGCATGGTTAGCAAAGGGACAATGTAAGACAATTACTAGCTCAATTCTCGAGCATTTGGTGAATTTAGGTCATGTAGCTCCACCAGAGTCGTCTTTCAAGATCATCTACAAAGTGAAGCC